ACAAGCTGACGGAGAGAAAGATAAGACGCCATAATGGAAACAGTAAGTGGAAGAAAAATATAAACAGAGAGAAAATACAGCACAACAAAGACAGAATGGGGGTAAGGATGGTTAAACAAAGAGAGAAGCTATTCATTTCCATGACTTCACGATGCTGGTAAACATTTATATTCTGGCATTTCCTCCACTTTGTGGGGTAATTAGGAAGTGAAGAAACATGTGTAAAATGGTAATGTAGTTCTGTTCCACTATACTGCCTCCTGGCTGTTGATCTCGCATTCAGAGTGTCAATAAGCCCACCATCAGATTCATTAATGCTAGTAAAAGCGGAAAAAAATACACATTTTACCCTGTTAGAAATCAATAAAATTAAATTGGAACAACACCACTGACCCAAAGGAAGTGGTGAGGTCAGACTCATTACTGTGCATCTCTGGCTTTGATTAGATGGATTTATTGAGTTAATACTGACAAGAAACCCTATACCATTAAAACTGGTAATTACAACTCAACTAAGGCCCTGAAACTAATGATTTCATTATTTTCTGTTGAATGATTAGAAGATTAATTGGCCAAATGTTCCAACACTAATGTCAGTGGCACACTATTAATGTCCTTAAAAGTACGACGCATCCTGTCTTGATGGTTATACGGATATACAGCAATTTAAAGTCTTCATCTTATTTAAAATTTAAAAAAAAATGTTTCATGACAGCTGAGTATCAAATCTAATTAACAGTTAAGCCTCGATTATACTGTGTAACATGTTCCAAAGTAACTTGTTACTGTAATCAGATGACATTTTTCAGTTACACCATAACAATTTACTGCATCAACTTCGGTAATAACAAAACAGTTACAATTATGTTGTTATTTTGTGACTTGCGTTACTGAGGCTCTTCAGTTATTTGCATCACGAGCAGATAGAAATTTTTTTTTTAAAAAAAGGATGGTTTTTTCTTCCTGCACATTTACAATCAGCTGACATTAGTTTGTGTGCACAGAGGAGAATAGACACTTATTTTTACTGCGTGAAAAGATAAGAGTATAACAATAAGATAAGAGTGTCCAGAACAGAAACATTAGGCTGCTAAGACAACATAGTCTCTTTGCAAGCATCTGCACAGATCGCTAGCTTTGCGTTCGCATGCTAAGAACCCCGAGTGATGTTAAAGTTAACTGTATGTCAACCCCAAACCAGCAGCCAGAACCTGATCTTCAGCAGGTAAAAATGCAATGCACATCAGGTCAGTAGTGTAGTGTAACAAACCATTTCCATTAAGAAAAGTGCTACATTACTTTCTAGAAAAGTCACAAGAAACATCTAATACATTGTGTTTTTTGAGTATCAACCCAAGACCTGATGGCCAAGTAGCTGTTCCTGTTATGCTTCTTTGAAATCCACTTGAAGCCCACTGCCTGGGGCACATGCGTACTTGCTGCATTGTAAAGGAGATTCTCTGCAGACAAGTCCACACAGTCACAAAAAGCAGGCAGACACACAGACTTTCGCATGGACTGATGCAAAAATTATGTCACTCAGACCCTAGCAGACTTAGACGAGCACGAATAATCTAGGCTTTAGGTATGTTAATGACATCCAAGGAAGTGCAGTGACAAGATGAAAGTCATCTACGTAAGCAGTTCTAATATTATGGATACAAGTTAAATTCCAACTGACGTAGTCTGACACAGGGAACAGAGGACAGAACGCTGCAATTGGCCCATTCTGCACCACCACATTCTGAGTAAACGCTGCACTTATAAATATGCACGCCTGCACTCATAAAATGTATGTGGAACCTGCTCAAACATCAATCACACTAAGCAGAAACTAAAAGTAGCTGAACTGATGGCCTTCTCTGCGCAACTAGAACACAACAGACTGAAGCACACCGGTTGGTGAAGGAAAGGAGAGTGCGGTGACAAGGTAAGTGGCAGTGTGCGTCACAGAGTGACAGACACTGACAGAGACTGACGGAGAAAGTGAGGTCAGGTCCGGACAATGGGAGATATTTAAGGCCAGTTGCCATGACACGAGAGTTGGGGTCATAACTCACTCTGTCTGTCCACCGTGTTTTATGGAGTGGGACAGAAACTCCCCCTCCAATAACACTGGCCTATGTCCTAGGCTGCTGTACACAGAACAAGCTGCTGACTGGGCACTTTGAGCCTGCTCAACTTGTCAACAAAAGGTCTGTTGTCTCCCGCTCTCTTACTCCCTCTTTCTATCACCCTCCTCTGTCTTTCTGACACGTCCTTTTATTTAAGTGTGCAGAGAAATGAAACCACTCAGTGGGGGAAAGAAATATAATGGGTCATAGAAAGAGAAAGTTAAAGGAAATAGATTGTGACTCAGAAAAGGACAATAAAGGAACAAAAACCAAAACCACTGATAAAGCAAAGGCAAACAGACAGCAGAAGAAGATTGTGGATGTTGCATCCTGTCAGGAGATTTCTGTTACCCTCCTCTTGCAGTGTGTTTAAATCACTGTCAGACTCTGAAAAGAGTGGGGGTGTGCAGGTACATCTTTTCTACTACACTTTTCTTTCATCTTTTTTACTACACTTTTCTCTAGGTACGTCACTGTTGGTATAATGCAAAATAAGGCACAAAAAAACAAAACAGCATGATTGTTGCCATTGCATGAATTTATGAAATTCATTCAGTTTCATTTAAAAGCCAAAACAATATTCTAAGGGAATCTTTGCCGTTTAATAAGAGGTAAAAATGTTGTCAAAAATCAGGAAGCCAGACTTGGTCCCCCCAGCACACAGATGCGCAAAAACAGGCTAAATAATGAATGTGTTTGCGTGTTCTCTACAGCAAATGTGCTGCAGGTTGCCACTGAAACACTTAGAATTTACAGAGCCCAAGCTTTAAAGAATACAGTACTTATGCGTGCATCTGTATGTTTTTCCTTTGGGCTGAGGATGCTTCTTTGGATGATTTCGTGCGTGCGTGCGTGCGTGCGTGCGTGCGTGCGTGCGTGCGTGCGTGCGTGCGTGCGTGCGTGCGTGCGTGTGTGTGTGTGTATATAGAGGCTCAGCTGGCACAGGAGGCACATCTGAGAACAAAAGCAGTCAGGCAGCCTGAGAGGAGAACAAGTTGAGAGCAGGTTGCTATCAGCAAGACTCATCACACTCATATTCCCTCTTTTCACACACCCTGCATTGTTCACAGATACACCGCAGCTTTGAGGATTTCATCCATATGTGCTTTTTCTACCAGATTCTTTGCCTGAAGGTGCTCCGTGAGCAGCTTGTCTTCAGTCTCTTGCAAGTATGGCTAAAACATGGTAATCGCATCATCCGAATTACTATATTAAAAGATAATAAAGAGCACATTAAAGAGAAGCACAACACTTGAGTCAAAGCAGAGGGAGTCAAAAGCGTGACAGCTAATAAAGAGGACTGTAGAAGTACGATAAAGTGCGTCTCACAGAGAGAATTTATACCAGAGAGAGGAGAGCAGGCCCTAATCCTTTGTTGAATAACCACAGGCTGACAAGCCAGACTCACCATTTGTGCTCGCACTCTCCTAATACAAGGCAGGTCAGCTCTGAGGCCCGGTGTTATGATCTATAAAGGTGAGCGAGTGAAGAAAACCCCAGATCCAGATTGCCAAGTACTGCCAACGGCAAACAGACCAGACCAGACTCTCAGCTGCTCACAGAAACACAGTGAATGCGTTTCTTAGCATGTCAGCAGGTGTGTTATTCTGCAGCAGCAACAGTCAATACAAGGAAGTAATCAAGCTTAAGGAAGCATTAGTGATCCAGTCAGCAGAGCAGCAAGACCAAATCAGCATTACCTGCTAAGATCTACTTGCTGGTAGTAAAGTGAGGCGTGCTACAACTTGGCAGCCGTAAACTATGGACACAACTGTAGCTGTTTCACACAGGGTGGCTTCAAATTTATATGCAACATTGCCTGCATTGCATTGCATTTAATGTGAAATGTATCAAAAGCCAAGCATGGTGCTGCATCTCTTCCCCAGATTTGGATCTCAAGGCTCATCCTGCATTCAGGCCCTCGGGGCATGACACTGTTTGTAAGCCACTGGCTTCAGTCATTCAGACAAAGTAAAACAGGCAAAACTAGATGAGGCTTTTACACTTGGTTGCCCTTTGTCTCCATGCAAAAACAACCCACACCGCTGAAGAGGAGGGCACTTGCTGTGAGGACAGAGGCCAAATGAAATGAATGCAATGAATAAACTCTGATTAAAAATACAGCATTAATGCAGAACTGGAGAAAAAAAAAAATCAGTCCTTGTTAGAATAAAAGCTTGGTTTACTCCCCAAAAAGGGGAGTGTGGCCTGATGCAGACCAATCCATTTAAGCATGGGCAGGCTGCATGCACACATCACGCACAAGGTACAGACCTACATGTGAGTGGTACCCCGGTTGTCATGGAAACAACTCGGATTAATCTAATGTACCATAGCCATCGCATGCCACTAACAACACATGAGAATTTGTGGTGGTTATTAGGCGGTCTGACTTTATTTAAACAGAACACTGATATCAACACTTAAAATATTCTGAAGCTATAGCTACTCAAGCGAATTCTACACTATTGCAATGATTTTTATTGGACTGTAGAGTAGAGAGAGGGCATAATGGCGAGCAATGACAAAAGTCCTTGGTCGTACTAGTCCTTGCTTGTGCATTATTTCTCCAGCCTGCAGTTTAAAGATCAAGGCTAGTGCTTTATATTCTGCACATTTAACAGCACAAAAATTTGCACATTGCCATTAGTTCTTACAAATTTCACAGCATGCATAAAGGAGCACTGCTGCAACCCCCCTCTACAACCTCTTCCCGTTCACCTTTCTCATGGCAAAGCAAGCTTCCAGCTTGAGTATTGTCTAGCTATCCACACACACGTTTTCTTCTGAGAGACCACCCAGATTGTCGCTGCTTACAGTAAGTAGTACTCATTTATGGATTCAAGTGAAGACCCGTTCAGGAGAACTGAGAGTCTCAGCTCTTACCGGTGGAGTGGTCCACAGGTCCTCCCCCGTTGTTCCCGAACAGAGCAGCATACAGGTCAGGGTATGCCTTCTCCAGGGCCACACACAGGTCGAGGAAATGGTCGCTCTCCTTGTTCATCAGCATCTTCAAAAGGTGGTCGACTTTCTCGGCGCTGGACGAACAGTTCTGGTCCAGCTCGAACCTGTCGAGTTGACTCAAAGTACCGGAAACTATCAGCAGCTCGATCACACGGTCAGCATCTGTTATGGACTCCAATAAGTTCTGGTGACACTGGTCTAGCAACTCTTTGTGCTTTGGCTCCATTGCTATCCGCTGTAGTTCCGTAGCTTCCCAGCTAACCCCAGACGGCCAAGTGGATGTAATATCCTTCCCGATCAAAAGTACTGAGCGATTATTGAACTTAACTTGTAGCGGCTTGCAGAACTTCGCCGGAGCCACCACGGCATTAGGTTGCACGGGAGAACAATTTTTATAGCATACTGAAAAAGGCACAAGAAGCCATATTTGTTGCCCAAGGCTGTTGACTGCACTAAACAGCGATACATTTTTCCATCTTACCAACGTGTGGCGCTTCTCGTCGTTTTTCGCTCCCTTTCAGAGTACGCTTTAACCGAACACGTTTTCCTCTTTTTATGTATCATTTCATGCGCCTTTTGCTGACTCAACTGCTGGGAAAACTCACGTAACTCCGCCGCTGCTGCCCAGTTACACTGTATCCTCCGCCATGTCTGAGCAACTCAGCAGCTGCTGCTCGCTGTCAATCAACAGTCCGCTCGGTGACCATATAAGGCAAAATGAGGCGGGGAAGACGCGACGGCACGCCCATTTCTTCAATGGGCGTACACATCATCCCCGTACTACGTCGAAAATCCCAGGTGGAAAAAAATCACAACGAACAGAAGGAAAATATAGAGATAATATTAAAAATATCGACATGGCGGTAAAGAACCACAAATGCTGCACTTCTACCCAAAGGGGGAACGTTCTCGAACCTTTGTATTCTTATTACAGTAGTTAGTTAGTATACATTTATATATTCCTATTTTGAGTATGTATATTATTAATATTCATATAGAGATTTATTTGTAAATGCCATATATTCTATTTCTGTATCACGGATTTTTGCATCATGACAACAAGACAAATATGTGAAAAAACCTGTGGACAAACTTGCCAACAAGAATAAATAAATTCTGATTCTGATTCTTTAATAAGATTTAATACGATTTTGCAGTTTGAAGCCATTGTTATACTTTTTACTGCAGTAAGTGTAAATTAAACTCCACTAAATCAGATTTTACTGATGCAGTCTCTATCAACCGGCAACAAAACGACAGTGTGTTGCTAATTACATAATAATTCATATTTATTTACGTAATGCAAGGCTTTGTGATGGAGGATGTTCTTGCTAGTTTTACCTAAAGCATATATCTTTCCTCAGTGTGAATCATTTCCCATGTCACCACTGTGCATGAGATGAATTTGAGCTAAAAAAAAAAAAAAAAAAAAAGATGTTGCCAAAAATAGGCTGGTTGATAAACCGGGTGATATTAATTCATTATTCTAATCTTTGGATTTAACACTGACACATCAAATCAGCAGAGCTTCATGCTAATCCTCACTGACTACATTAGGAATTTTATTTGGGGAGAAATGTTAAAGCAGTGATAAAAACATAGGGATTTTTATCTTGCCCTTGCATAATGCTGCTGCTGCTGCTGAAGCCACAGGCTTATGCGCCCTGCTTTGAAAACCAAGCCGCACTGCAACCAGTTTTACTCTGCGCACTATGTATATGTGCAGGATTAGGCAGAAGAGGGCAAAACGCCATTTGTGAACGTATATGCGGTGACAAATGAAATGTGTATTTGACTAGGCTTTGTGAAATGCAGTGTGATGATGATGGATGCACTCTGCCTCTAGTCTACAGATGAATAAAGACTGCTGGCACAGAGGCAAGCGTCTGCGGGCATACCTCTCAAACCGTGACCTTATTCATGCATGCACTGAATCTCATTGTGACATCGCCTCCAAACCCACACCTCCTCCTTTCTGTCTATCTGCCATGCTGGCTCCATAGCTTGTGCAACCATGTGCTATCCCTTTAGATGAAAAATTAATTACAATTCATTCATATCAAAGGGAAGCAGGTCCCTAGTGCTGACACAGATTGGACAATTGTGTCTGTATCCTACTTCCGAGGACAACACATTTAAATAGAGAAGACAGCCTGATCCTTTTTATCTTGGGGGTATGAATGAGTTTATTATTTAGACTACAAGGGTGGTGCTTGTGGCTGTCTGATAATTTACTGAATTTTATTAAACAAATTATACGTCAGGCAGCTCAGATCACAGATCACAGCAGATAATAGCTTTATCTTTTATTGAAAAGACTGTCAACAAGTATATCCATCACCGATCCCGGTCAAATTGTCTCAAATGGAGACAACAAATCATTTTCACGGATTTTTTCTTTTCTTTTTTTTATTATCAGCTTCGCTGTCTCAGCTGAGAGTAACAAAGCAATTGGTTTATTAGACACTTACTTCTCACACTAATTTCCTGCACGAATGCATGAGAGTGATAGCATTCCCAAAGCAGTGAATACGCAATGCTCATTTAGTGAAATGTTAGAAGGGTATGTGTTTGCTGCTGTCATTTATAGAGTTTTATGTTTCATAATGTAATTTCATCTTTTCCCCCACAATACCTCAGACACTGCGAGAGGATTCCCAAGTAATTAGATCAGTCATAACAGACAGTAAATTAGGCAATTCGTGGTTTTTAATTAACGGTGAATTACACAGCCTTCAGCTAGACGCCTGCAACAGATGAGAGGCTGATGGTTGTAATGATATCAAAACTGCAATGTTGGCATAGACATGCCAGAAACACTTTATTTTTTTAAAAAAAAAAAAAAACCTAATCTAATCACATCTAAATTATCTTTTCAAAACTGATGTAATCGCATTCAGGATTCATTACACTTTTAGCCATTGCAATCTAAACAGCCATCTAAAGCCCTCAAACCTTCTCTGCCATTTCTAGTCAGTTTTAACATGAGGTGATCAAAAGCGATTTCTCCAGCATGGCTCTTCCCTAAGGGTCCCCCATGCATCTGACAGCATCACAGTCATGGTAGACTCGTTTAATGTGAGCATGGCAGCTTTATGGATGCCATTAATTCCACAGGCTCCGCCCCCGCCTCCCCTCTTCTCACTTCACAGAGTTATTGATTGTAGTGCACTTAACACACACACATACACTACTATGGCCAGCCAAGCGCATAGCCATGTCTTTACAGTGTTGAACAGCATTTTAAGTGAAGCCAACAGGATTTAATAAGGCATATAGAGCTCCTTCTGCAGCCACACATGCTGGCCTTATCCCCCTTCAGGAAAGAAAAAACAGTTATCTGTATTGATTGAGCAAAATACAGTGTTTAAGTTTCACACTACTTTATGGCAGTGATAGTGAGACTTTTAGCTGATACAGTGTGAAAGAACTTGCAGCCTTGTTTGGTGGTTTGTACATGTGTAAACTGTGACCAGGATGATTAATTCAGTGCCATGATGTGACTGATTTTTGCTTGCTGCATTTTTTTTTTTAGAAGACATCACTGCCCTCTGCTGACAAACCAAGTCTACTACCAAACCCTTACAGCATCACAGTGGTACAGCCAAAGGTTTGGTTATTAAGCATCACTGCAAAGTTTGAATGGCTGGCAATAAATGTTACTTTTTGACCTAAAATACAGTAACTAGTCAATCAGTATCCTTGACAATGGCGGTTTAGTGAAATTCTATTCTTTTAGTGAAATTGACCAATGCTCGCAAATCATTTTTAAAAAAATCAGAGTAACTTCAGACTTCCAGAGTTGACTTAGGTGATCAAACATGTATGATTTAATTCAAAAAGCTAAGCTTAATTTTCTTTATCAGAAAAAACTCGAGAAAAAAAAAAGAAGAAGATTTTCTTGCCTTCATCAACGGCCAAATTACCATCTTTATGGTTTTTTCAAATGGCTTTGAACAACCTGTGAACAATGTTATCTGCTGCACTATGTATTAACATTTTTTTTAGACTTCTGTATTGTGCAAGGGTTTGTCTGCTTGAGGCAACAGATGTTGGTAATGTGGTGTGACACAAATAAAAATGTAACTAAACTTGGTTTCTTCTAAAAAAAAAAAAAAAAAAGCATTACTGCCATATTCATATATTCACAACGCCTTTTCACCAGAATCTACTTGCGCTTGTGATCCCATAAATGGATGTGACATACACTAGAGTGTATGCCCGTTTCCTAAAGCCTTTTCATAGAGTTTGTTGCAGTTTTATGGTTGAATGAACAAAAAACAATCCCAGTGTACATTCTCAGTATTTATTTCCTGAATCCCCTGAAAATGGCACCTTAATTATGAAACATCATGCTCAATGATGAACTATAGTGACCTTTATGTGACAAAACTACTGCAAACATAGCTTTTAGAAACAAAACTCAAGACTAGAAAAAATATAGAGAAGAGATTGTACAATTGCAAGCATCATATTTTACTTTGGTACTTAGCTGCTATGTATTATATGCCTCACATTAACTAGCTGCTAAACATCAGATACAGTTCAGTATCTGATCATATTGGCACAATAAAAAAATCTTTTAAAATATATATATAGCTCTTCAAAATCCAATGTAAACTCTTACAAATCTATTTTGTAAATCCATGTACTGTCATATCCGGCCAATATAGTACAAACAAAAAATATATAAAACATGTTTTGCATAGAAAGGTAATAATATGTATGAGCTTTTCAAAGCTAGGTAAATTTTGCATTGAAAGCATTGACATGGCATGCAAGTATGCAGTGTGTGTATAGTGCATACAGATGATTCAGAAAGATTATATTTGAAGAAATGTCTGTAAAGAAGTCGACAGAACGTCTCCCTTTTTCAGTCACTGCCCCCGCAGAGCTTGAGTAGGAGTTTCTTGTAGTCTCCTGATGTGTCTCCCTGTTCAACACAGGCCAAGAAAATTAAACATCGGTCTCTTAAAAACAGATTTTAGTGGATACAGCGCTTTTGTATTATAGTGGATACTTACAGAGATCGCAGTGTACAGAGACTTGCCGTAATTTTTCAAATACTCCTGGCGAATGTCGAGCATGTCAACCTCGGAACGGGAGACCATGATCCGGATCAGAGTTTTGTCTTTTGTCCCAGCTCCCTGCACACAAACAATAACACGCACACACACACAAAAAATGAATATGATGCTCCATCTATTTAGTAACGCATAGAAAGAGAGCAGGCTGTCTCACCTTCATGGCCTTGTAGAGTCTTTCAGCAAAATATGCAGGTGTATTTTTAATGCACTTCACTAAAACAGAGAAAACCAAGTCATTACCAAGACAACAACAATATATTATTAACTGTACAAAAGCAGTTTATTTCTCTAAAACACCACAAAATGACATCTGGGAAATGGAAACAAAACAACAACAACAAAAAACTTCTTAAAAAGGTTACACTAAAGCTCCTTCAGTGATCTCAGTATATCTGAATGTTCTTAAACGTGTTATGTTATTTAAATCTTATTAAACTGGACTTCCTGATGTATCCACAACAATAACAGCAAGGTGAAACAAATTAAATAACATAAAACAAAAAAACAAAACTAAAGAAAAACACCCCAACAGAAAACACAACAACATCAACGTCAGGCTCAAATCTATTGTGAAATAGTAAATGTGACATTAAATATTCACATGATATTTACTCCACCACCACCTGAGCATCTACATAAAGCAATAAAGCTGAAAAATTCTTCTAAGCCCTAAAGGTGAGGTATTGGTTGATGGAGCTTTAGAGTAAATTAAAAAAAACAAAGAAACCCAAAAACAAAACAAAAAAAACAAAACTGTGGCAAACTTTCAACACTGCACTGCACTGGAAAACTAATGAAAGAGTTCACAAAAAATAGAAATAATATCTAAAAAAAAAAAAAAGCAAAACAAAACAAAACAAAAAAAAACAGGTTACTCTACCATATCTCTGTGAATTGATGGCAAAAGGGGGAGAAGGAGGAGGGCAAGACAAAACAAAGATTAAGCATTTGAAGGACCCTTGCATCTGTACAACACATTTAGCAAAGTTAACTGCAGTACAGTATTAATCCAGTAAGGCAGTTTAATAATTAATAGTGAATCCTTTACTGCGTGCATGCATCTACAATCATTGACCTTTTACGTAGCACACAGTCTAACTTTCCCAGCACATGGGAGTGGCTCTTTTAAGTAAAAACTTGAATAGGCGTGTGCGCATTCTTACCCACTGCCAACATGCCACTCTCAAGATCGCCAGACATTTCCCTGCCGATGCTCTTCTCAATATCCCTACCGCACATCTGCTGGTACTCCATGAACACTACACACATAAGCACAAATCCACAGGAAACAGGTAAACAGACTGAAAAGGACACCAAAGATTTGCCTTTGTTTACTAATCCAGAATTTATACCTGCTCTGAGATGGGATTTGCTCCTGGCACATAAAATGGCATTAAATTTGGACTCATCTGTTCCCAGTTTGTTTTCTCCAGCAGCATACAGGGCCTGTTTAGACAAAAGCCAGGTGTGACAAACTGAATGTCATTGCACTCAAAGAAATCAAGGATTGACCATTTTAAGACATGCAGGTGAATCACTGAACGTAAGTCAACAATATGAAATCCGGAGGTTTTACCTGAGCATCTTGTTTAGCCAGCGAGATGTCGACATTTTCTCGTTCATCCCGATTACCCTGCAAAACAGAGAGCAGCACATTTCCTAGTGCAAATTCGAAAGTAGTTTCTAAGAAAAACAGGTGGTGCACAAGTGTTTCACAACTATACCTGAGCAAGAGAGACCAGGAGCCTGCGGAAGTGGCCTGAGGTGTCTCCACTAATTGAATCCTCCAGTGACTTCTTGTATTCTGATATGGCAAATATGATGTTTTTTTAAACATATCAAATGTGAGAAAAATATCAAATGTGACTAAATTTCTCAGATCAATATACTACATATGGCTATCTGGGAATATTTTGTAGCCCAGATTAGTGACAAAGGGGAAAATGGGACACAAGTAGATCAAAACATAAATATAAAGAGCTATAAGAGCAAACAGTGAACGATTAAGTAATTAAAATAATACCCTTATTTTATATGTTTTGATATTAGAATTGCGACAGCTTTCTTGCTATCAAATCAGAATTTATAGGCGTTATCGTGCTACCCACATCTAAATACACTAAGTTTATCCTCTATGCAATCAATCTCAGTGGTGTCATGCTGTGAGACTAAGGTTAAGAGAGCAGTGAGGAAAAGCAGCATATTTAAAAAAAACAAACAAACAAACAAACAAAAAAACCCCTCAAGCATCAAACCTTGTTTGTAAATACGGTTAATCTCCTTGATTTCAGCATTGGAGCGAGAAGACAGGACCTCAATTAGACAGGCCTCATCAGTTCCAGCTCCCTATTAAGAGGACAGAATAATGCTATCATGAGAACCTCTTTGTCTGGATTGCAGCAGCCTGTGTATGTCTTTTCAATGAGCATGCATTCAGACCTTCATTATGATGCAACACACCAACATGCATTTTCTCAGTATTTACCTTTATGGAACTGTTGAGTTCAGAGGCATCAAACTCAGTGGGGGTCTTCAGCATGGCCATGACAAGCTTCCTGAAATCCCCAGACAGTTCTGAGTGCAGATCCTTAATCAGATCCTGAAAGCGGGGATGGTTCAAAACCATCGTTAACTGCTCCTTGAAAATTTTGCTGCAAAACAATCCACTGTGGCCTAACAACAATCAGCTTTAAGGACATTCAATCCCCTCTGAATCTGACCGGCATGATAGACTATGTGCACGTTAGCATATGCTACTTCCGGTGTGGAAACTCCTGTGGGGAGCTTTGTTTCCGGTGTCCTATTCACGCCTGGTTTACGGTCCAAAACAAGTTAAGCAAAGGAATGAATCAAGCGGCGATTTACATTTCTATAGATGTCTTGGGCATTTACCCAATAGATCTGTAAATGATGTCCATCGACTTGTTGATATTTTTTCCCCCGCACCTCAGAGCAAAAGAGAAAAGGGATTCAAATGTTATATTTCTCAG